GGAGCCAGTCACGTGGGCAGGGAAAGCGCGGCCGCGCTGGCGGTTGCCATGGCAGCCGAGCCCCGCCCCTCCCCTCCCCTCCGCCGCTGCAGCGTTGGGGCCGCCGCCGACCTGTCCCCCAAACCCTCCTGCTTCTTCCATGTCTGCTGTCAGTCCAGGTGAATTTTTTCAGTTATGTGGCACCGCAGCAGCAGCTCTTCCCACCCTGGAGGAGAATAAAGGCTCTCTGGTGGCTGTTTCTTCCCTCACAGGTGAGTGTCTTTAACCGGCATAAGCGGTTCCCAGCCCACCACCTCTCTCTGTCCTTCAACCACTCAACACATTTTCAAGCTCTGCGTTTCACAGTAGCAAGCAGGATGGTGGCTGGCTGTCCTTGTTTCCTGGAAGACCTTCTCTCTGTTGCACCATTTTGCATTCCCTTGGAACTTTGCTCTTCATTCACCGTGTGCCCAGATCTGATCTGCATGTTTGGCTTCTGTCCCTTACAGCCAGGCCCATCCCTTCTGCAGAAGACCGTCCTGCCACTCTAAGGCCTTCTGGCTTTGGTCAGCCTGAGTAGCAGTCTGCATCTACTGTAGGGGATGGAAAGCCAGGAGAAAGTCTTCAGTGTGTGTTCAAGGCAGCTGCATCACCATACACAAGTACAGACATCCCTGCCTTGTGATGTAACATGCCTTGCTGTCACAGAAATGTTATGGCCAGATGCCCCAGTATGTGACCCAGTCAATGTGTTTGCATGTGATGGGGAACGGGAAAGCTGCAGGTAGACCTTTTTTAGCCCAGCATGTGACCTGCTTACTGTGTAAGTTACAAGAAAGTTCCTTCCCTTATCCACAGAGGTGGTGACTCTTTTTGTTGGGATGGGCTTATGCAAAGTGGTAGAATTTTTAAGTGCTTGTGTGTGACTAGAAATGAGGGAAACTCACCTGCACAGAACATGGGCTGATGCAGGATGGCAAAGCCTCTGTCTTTGCCCATATTCCCTTTCCATGGCAGCATCCTCCTGACAGCAACTTCCCTGATCTTTTGAGTTCTTTCCTTTTCCTCTCCAGGGGAAATAGTCACTCCCCTCACCACTTCCTATTTTGCCACCAGGTTTGCACTGGATGGATTCTTCAGCTCGCTGCGCCATGAACTCATAATGCAGAAGAGAAATGTCTCTATCACACTACGCTTCTGGCTCTGATTAATACTGATATGGTATTACAGAATACCAGGTGTGTATTTGGAGGAGGACGTAGGAGTCTGGGTGGGAGTGTGTCTGCAGAAACATGTCTCTTCTTGAAAGCATGCAAAAAATGCACAACTGTGTTTAAGATGATGTGCACATATGTTTGGATGGGCAAGAAGACTAATAGGAAGAGTGCATCTGATTGGGTACATCATGGGGGTTGTGCACATCCACCTCAGCATGGTACATGAGTGTGCAGAACCCTGCGGTAGTCAGTCTGCACAGGTAAAAACCATACCAAGGATTGTCTGGCTCCAAGTGATCCTCTTGACTGTTTCTTACAGGGCAAAGTGCACAGAACTGCTTCTCCTGTTCCTGAAACTGGATCATCCAGGGAGGTGCCACACGGGTGCAGGAGGTTTTCTACCTGTGGTGGCTTCAGCATATGTGTTGCCTCTGGGTTTTGTTCCCCAATGACCAGGACCAAGTTTTACAGAGTTACTATAACTACAGCAGTCCTTAAAGAATGCCCAGTCTCAGTCTCCTCTCCCATCCTACATCTCTTTTAATCACATTTCCCCTGTTGCACTAAGCATCCCATGCAACTATTGTCAAGTGGAAGCAGGGCAGCAGTGGTGGCAAAGTAACCTTAACTCTTCGCAAGACTCATCTTGGCCTCCCTCTCATCCTGCTTCAGCCACAGTTCCGATATTTCTACCCATCAGTCAAAGATCTTTCCCACTGTTCACTTGGTTTAGCCTTGCACCCATTTCTCCTTCAGCCTCACATGTCTGTACTGCCTCGTTTCTTTCAGCTCCAGCTTTAACCTTGGTCTGTACAGGGTGTCCTGAAATGTCAGTACATCTTGCTCCACTGCTTACTTATTTTGTGGAGTCTGTGAAACTTCTTGCTTCTTATAAATAGAATTTTAATCTCTATTTTAATTAAACTCTTTTTTTTTCCATGTGTTGATGTTACATGTTGATGCTTCCTCCATGAAGTAAGGCTGGTGACCTGGCTTCTGTGAGCACAGGCATGTTGCTACATGTTTGCTGGCTGCACAGGACCTGTTAAAACAGCTCTTCGTTGCTGTAAATGCCAGGATGGGTTGATGATTCCTGCACTGAACAGGAGAAATAATATAGAAGGAATTCTTCCCTAACACATTATTCCTATGGATATGTGTCACATAAGTTCTAGCAGCTAAGCAAAAGCAGTCTTTGCTTGAATCCTCCTGGGCTGGGAATGGATAACAGATCCTATGGGGGCTCCTTGGTGTCTGAGAGGATAGTTATTTTGTGTGTTGTTCCTGTCTGCAGTGCATGAATCCTGAAGGGCTTTTAAGTTGCTTTGAAAGCAGAACATTTTGTAGAAATCAGTTAACAGGTTTGGAATTTATTGGAACAGCCAGGTATTGCTTAAAATCCAGGCTTGTCTAGGGAATGTAGAACTAAGATGGAGAGTGCAGAGCCTTACCAACTGCAATCTTTCTTCAATCATAGCTGGTCTTCTCCAAAGAGAGGGAAAAAATCAGGTTGAGGAGTAGGTACATTCTAGCCGGTGAGAGGCAACTTCTTATGAAAGGGTCATTGCATGCCCTCCTTCCTTCTTTGCTCTGCTGACAGCTAGGTGCTAGACTAAATGCACTCTTTTTCTGAGCTAAATATAAAAGCTTGTGTGCCTGCAAGAGATGTCACTGCAGCTTGAGTTCTTGTTGCTGGGAATGGTGTGTGGCACTTTTAGTCGCAAGCACATTTTATTCACATCACAGAAACAGGCACCTGCTGCCTATTTTCCTTTCTCTATCCTTGCCATTGACTGGTTTTTAACACGACAAAGCTTTCTCTGGAGCTATGTGGAAATAAGAACTTACCACAATTCACAATCTCTGGTATTTGAACTTGTCCCTTCTAAAACACACACCTACTTGCTTCTCGTGACAGTTTGCAGTATACACCTTGGCCCAGTCACTGCAGATTGTGTTGGGGCAGGGACAAGGTGGCATCAAAAATTGAGGTAGTCCTAGATTTCATTCTCTGCTCATGGTCTCCTCCAGCACCGTTAAATGGGGATTTCAAAGCAGTAAAGTCCTAGGGAAAACTAGTGCTTTTACAGGAGGGGCTGAACTGTGGGCATGGCCCACAGTTGGTTCTGTACCAACCCCAAGCATGTTCCTCACCTTCAATGCGGAGATCAAGACTCTGCATTTGCTTTCACTTTCCTTGGTTCTGTGCATAGCACCAGATGGCCTGGGCTCTGGCCCTCAACTGATTTCCTCCAAGGTGCTGTTTTTGTTCTCTCAAGCGAGAGCAGAGTACACAGGAGTTCTTAAGAGATGTCTGGTATCTGCACACAAGAGCTGTGACTGGTTTGTGTTTAGCTGTGGCCAGAGCTTGGCTGCTAAACTCATTCGTTGCCGCTGGCCTAATATAACAAACTTGCATTTTGGGGATCATACACTGCAGACTGGAGCAAAAATCCACAGACAGCCTTCTTAGAGACACAGGGACACTGTGTGGTGTTCAGAGTAAGGCAGGGTTGTATTCTGTAGGACTCTCAGGCTGTCATCCATCCCCCCATGAAATGCTTTTTAACTGACTGCACAGGTGATTTGCTGAATGGAAACAGACTTTCCTTGCCCCAGGCCTTTGGTGATTGTCTTTAAGTGTATGCATTACCTAAAAGCATGTGCAACAAACACACAAAGTAATACCCCAGTTACTTATCAAGTAAAACTTTTATTAAATAAATTTAAGATTCTTTTTACCAGAGTGAGGAATTTGACACTGACGAAGCTTGTATCGCACCTGTAACATTGTACAGTCACATCAGTAACTGTGATGGAAGAAACTGTAAATGCTTATTTTAAACCAGCTTGACCTAGAATTTACAAAGTCCTTTTTTGCCCATTTTGCATTTGTTGGGTTTTTTTTTTATTTTTTGTTTTGTTCAAAATTAGATTAAGTTTAAACTTCATGAAATTACTTGTAGCAGAAATAAAGTACATTATACAAATCACGTACATAATAGATGTTAAGTATAAAAATGGTATTTACAGTAAGTAAACATGGACTATAGAAACACACTGACTCACACAGCTTCATCCATCGCTCAAACTCTCAGCATCAGATACAGAGGGATGGTTGAGGAGATGTGAAGGTCCTTAACTGTGCCACAAACATCTGAACAAAGGGAAACTGGAGGAGGATAAGAATTGACGGGTTCTCTAAAGTCCCCATATCTCACCAGTATCAACTGCATCAACCTTTCTCCACCAACCCTCTGTTCACGTTTGGACGTGCACATGCACGTGCGCGCGCACACACACACACACACACAAAGGGGAATGTTCTTGGTACCTTATCAAACTCTGGAATATTGAAACTAATCATTCAGAAGGTTTGTGGGGTTAGTTCATTAAGGTTTCCTTTCCTTATTTTGGTAGAAACTTAAAGAGACTGTTTCAAGGGCTATGCCTTGTCAGTATGACACACACACCCCCGGCCTCAGGGGATCTTTGTTAAATCAAGCTCTGAACTATGTTCTGTGCTTAAGTGTATGTGTATATAGCTGTATCTATATATGCTGCATAATGTATAATCTGTCCTTTGGAGGGGGTGGTAGGGAAAAAACAGAATGGCAACCCTCTTTCATCATACTATCCTTGTGTCTGCTTCGAAAAGCTTTGCAGAGGGTGTGAGAGGTGAGTCATCTCTAAATTCTGATGAAGAAGATGTCCCATTTCATCTGGGAATCAGAACTGCCCGCTAACCAGCATTAGGTTACTTCCAACATGGGGAGGCAGTGTGTAGCCCCTGGGAGGCTTCTGCCACTCTGTTTTGGAGATTGCATCTGCTCACATTCTCTCATCTTCTCTTGCCTTGATCAAGAAAATGCTCTGTTACCATGGAGAGCTATGAAATAGGGATCTGTGCCACATGTGGGGAGGCAGTACAGTTCCTGTAGGTAAAGGGACTCGTTTCCTGTGCTTTCAGCCTGATCGAGGAGTTGCTAAGGATAGGCTTTGGCACCAAATTCCAGGAGCTTTGTCTGCAGAAGCCCTTGGAAAGGTAAGACTGAGAGCTCTTGAGATCCTTAACCAGGCTGGTGCTAAGGTCGGTGGATGAGTGACTCGAGCAGAGCAGCTGGCTGTGCCCTAATCCTGGAGGTATGTAGTTCTCTTTTTCCTTGCTTCTTGCTAATGTTGAACAGAGAGATGCACTCGCTCGCTCTCTTGCTTTCTGTCCATCCAAGCATCCTCTCAAAATGTTCAGGCCTATCTGCAGTGCTTGCTGAGAAAACACTGTTGCAAAGGTAAACACTTAACTTCCAATCCCTCTTGCAAGGAGTCAGTCTCTGAATGGAAAAGTTTGGTCCTGTGAGCCACTTTAAAAAAAAATAGAGACTGTATATATATATATTTATATTTAACTATGAAAGGGCCAGGAGACAGGGTGGGAGGAAGGGAGGGACAGAGCTGTTTCCATACATCACTGCAGTAACCTAGAGACACACCAGTGGGTTTTCTTGGTCCATGTACTCCAGGCATACCCCAAAAGGAAGAGCTTCAGGTCCCCAGGTGCTGCTGGTTTTCTGGTCCCTTTGCTATGCACCACATTAGCAGCAAATATGTGAGTCCGTTGTGGCAAGAATCTTCCTGCTGGGCAGATATTGAGCCTTCTCTTTAATTGCATGTTTTGGGTGGGAGGGCAGGAGGATGGGGTGGGTAGGTGGGGAGCAGAGGAAGGAAAGGAGTGGTGTCTAAAGAGTTGATAAATTTACTGGCCTCTCTGTAAATCAACCTGAAGCAGAAATTCTTCCTCTGGACTTTCCCTTCACCTGAATAGAAAGGGAGGAGGGAGGGAATTTGGAGGTTAGGCAGACATCAATGCAAACCTCTGGCTTTGAGTTGCTGTTGCTTAACATGGAGGAAGATGACCCCAATTAGAAGGGACCAAGATCAGCCCTCCCTTGCTCCCAGCCTGTTGGCTGATAGGAACTAGCTCTTTGACAGCCAGCTCTCATGTCAAGTAGCTCTTTCTGTGGCCCTTCATGGTCTCACCTTTTCTCTGCTTTTCTGTAATGCTTGTGAATCATGGGATTGTCTTTGTTTACCCTGGAAAGCATTCTCTGCAGACAAATTTCCAGGCACATGTAACAACTGAAAACAAAACTACTGGGTTTTTAAATCTTTATGAAGATGAATGTTTTGGGGAGCAGTCAGAAAGACTGAAACCTTGCTTAGCTACAGGCAGGTAATTTGAACCCATCTGCCTGTCAGGGCCCTGAGTGCACTAACAGGTCCTAAAGGCCTTGACCAGCTTTATGTCCATGGGCCCAGGATTCTCATTACAGCTCAGGCCTGTGCCTTCAGTCCTTGTCTGAGCTATATGGTGGAAGTGCCAGTCTCCACCTGTCCATGGACCTGTCCTGTCCATGGATCTTGTTATGTGGACTCCAACCCTTGATTGTCTTCCCATCTAGGTGTTGGATCTGTTTATTATTCTCATTATAGACCTGCTTGGCAATCACTGGACTATGTCTGACCCTGTTTACCTTTACCAGACCTGATCTTGACCAGCAGACTGACTCTCTGGCTTGACTTTGGGCCTGCCTCATTGCCACAAGCTTGCCTGATGATCTAGACTCTTGGTTGAACCTGGCCATCATCTCCAGGCCTGCCCTGGTCAACTTGCTTAGGTGCTGCGGCTGGGCCCTGGCAGGCGAGGCCTCTGCCCTGCTAGCTGTGTTACTGTGTTCAGCTCCTGGCTTCCCACCCCACAGGGAGCAGCCAGACCTTGCTGTCCCCTGACACTGGCCAGCACTGTGTAGGAACTGTGCTGTGATGATGCCCGTTTTACCTGTGCTGCAGAAGCGACTCCTGCTTGCTCACTGCTGTCAGTAGGGATGATTAGCATCCTTGGGTCGTTTTAACTGCACCTTCAAACGTTTCATGCCAATCTGGAATCCATTCATGGCCTGGATAGCAGTCTGTGCACTGGATGGGTTGTCAAAGCTTACAAAACCTGAAGGACAGGACACAGGCATGCATAGTAATGGCACTGTTGGTGCCACGCGCATTGCACAAGTGTCCTCATTATCCATCATGCTTCCCTTGCCCACTGGCATCAGCACTCACCAAAACACTTGCTCTGGTTGGTGGCACGATCCATGAACACCTTGGAGGAAATGATATTGCCAAAGGGCAGGAACATCTGCATCAACTCATTGTCTCCGAACTCCTGAGGGAGATGGTAGATGAAGAGATTGCAGCCTTCAGGACCTGCAGGCATGGGGGCAATGGGGACGGACCAAACAGAGCCCCCAAAAAGAAGGGGAAGAGAAACGGCCTCAACTCAGAGCACAGCACTGGAGGAGAACCCCAGCACTGCCTCCTTCTGTCTTGACCTCCCTTGCTTGTCTCTCTTAACACTGGTCCACAAAGGGTTCTAAGAGCAGCTGGGAGGCAATATGCAGAGCTAGAGTTTCTGGAGAACAGATGCACTTTCACAGTTTGCCCAATTCCCATGTGGGGTGTTGGACAAAAGTCTTGAGTGTCTGGGTGTTGTTTTGCTGAAAGGATATTAGTTGAGATGACAGCTCCCTGTTCATAGCTCTCCCAGTCCTAGGAGAGTAGCAGGCACTGCTATGTGAAAGCTACTGCTCTCACATTCCCTGCCCACAGCTATGCAATGGCTGCTTTCAGCCCAGAAGCCACAGCCTCAACCAGAAATCTGGATTGCCACACATCCAATTTGTGGGCTGACCTGGTCCTGTCCACTCCTTCACTTGCTCCCTGTGAATCTAATGAGCACAAGGAGCTGTTCCCTCGATGACATCTGCTGTATGAAGCAGGAGCAGGCAGAGAATGCCTTTGCCTCCAAATTCTGTCCAGGCCAGTTTTGAAATAAGCTGAAAAACAAACTCAGGAGGCTAGGAAGGCTGAAGAGAGAGGACAAGTACGTTGGAGAGGCTGGTTTGACTGGTACCAGTGTCATTCTGGCATAAGTAAAGATGAGGAGGAAGTGCTCTTTTGCCCTGCCAGTGTAGGGAAGGTGCTAACTCTGTACCCTCTCGTGTCAAAGCTTGGTGTTCTAGTGCTTGCTGTCCCCTTTGTACTTGGCAGCACCTGGCCAGGGGTGAGCTCAGAAAGTCTGCATGGCAAGCATCCTCTTGAACCTTTCCAGTCCACTCACTGCAGGGACATGGTTAGTTCCGTAACCCAGCTCCAGTATGAAAGATTAGAGTGTACAAAGATTAGTGCTGTCTCCTCTCCACTGGTTCTGTGGTGCAGAAAACGAGCCACACAAACCCCGCTCCCCCCCCACCAGAACTGGACACGCACATTCCCACTCTGTTCCTCACCTTCTCGTTGCTGCTGCAGGATGGGAGGTGGCTGAGGGATGCTCTGAGCAATGGGGGTGATGGTAGTGGTTGGATACACAGCTGTATTCCAGGGAGACAGAACAAACTGTTTACCTGAGGATCTGGTTAGCCACACAAGGGCCAGAGGGAGACAAGAGAAGCTGGTACCTGCATACTGCTGAACTCCTGTGAAGGCTGGGTGCAGAGTCTCTGCTACTGAAGGGCTCTGGGCTGCAGAGAAGAACATAATCAGAAGCTCAGCAAAGGGCATCACTCATGGGTTGTCTCTGTCCCTCTTCCTCCAACCCCCCCTGTCAAGTGAGTCTCAGTGCCCAGCCGGTAGGGAGCTAGAAAAAATGTTCTGTGTAGGGAATCCAGAAAAGAAGAGCTAATTGCAGTTTCTGAGGTCTCGGGATAGTTTTCTTTTTCCCTGCTCTCTGTACCTGAGTATGGCACAAGTCCATTGGTGTAAACTGCTTCCAAGGTTGGATGCCCATTTGGGAATGGTACCACTCCAGTGAATCCATTTGAAATGGGTGCCACCAGTCCCGGCATGGCTGCTGTTCCCAGGAGAGGTGGTGAATGTAGCCCTGGAGAGCAGGAAGAGAGGACATCCCATGAGAGTCAAGGCCCTGCAAAGCCCACCCTCCTCCTTCCATCTGCCTAGCAAGACTGCTGGTTATGAAGCTATTATCTCTTCTAGTTGGCACATGGAGCCTTCACAAAATTAGAGGTAGCACGAGTAAGAAGAGTGTGCACAGCACTGCTAGTCCTGGCTGGTGTCAGAGCTTTGGGGTGGAACATTTTTAATCCAGGTTTGTACACCACCTAGCATGATACAGCCCTGTTCTTGCCAGGTGTTCAAACCCAATATGCATCATTGCTGATACTGTTAGTGTGGGATGGCGATAATGAATACTAGCACTGCTGTACCTGGTCAGGTGCAATCCTGGGAACCTGGTCCCCCTTTACTACATCCAAGGTTAAAATGGCAGCAGAGAGGAATAGCAGCAGTAGGGCACAATGATGTGTGTGGAATGCATGAGGTGTCGCGGAGGTTGCAGAAATTTGCGCCGATCTAGAGCCTGCTGTCCTCAGAGGCTCATTGTTAGAAACGAATGGTCTAATACAGGTGCCAAGCCCGGAGGTATGCGGGAGCCGTTGTACCTGTGCGAGTACCGTGCCGGGTGCTGGGGCAGGACGTTCACTGGCAGTGGAGGACTTGCTGGCGGGAGCCGGCCGTGCTCCCTCAGGCAGAGCACCCTGGCACCACAGGCCCTACCGCTCTGCCGGGCGCTGCCACTTCTCCCGGGACAGCACCAGGTATTAAATAACACAGCTTCGCCTTGCGGACCGGGGCCCAAATCCCTCTCCTTTTGCCCGGCCTCAACAAGGAGACCGTGCTGCTGGGAGACACGTGGAGCTCCTTCTCGGGGGTGCACCCTGTGTCCCGCCGGGTGTCCGCCCCGTGATCCACTGGCCTGCACTGTGGGACCAGGGGAAGGCAGCTCCTTCTGGCCCCGCAGGAGGAGAAAGAGAAAGATCCTTCCAGTCCTATTTGGCCATCAGTTGGTGCTCTGAAGCATTAAATCAGACTGTGCTTGGAGTACAGTGGCAACAAAGACTTAGTTCTGGATGCAAAATTATCTAGCCCCTTTATAAGCCTTGACCATCAAGCAAGAGCAGGGGAGGCACAGTTCTCTGGAAACTCTACAATTCCACAGGAGGAGCTGGGGGGTAGCACATGGCAAAACCCAAGAAAAACACAAATCCTCCCTGCATTAACGACACCTGTATCTCACTGTCTGCTTTGCAACATAAAGACACGGCACTCAAGTAACCTGCCTCATCCACAAATGGCTCAGTTTGGCCCAGGTCCGAGGGGGAATCTGGTAACTGAATGTTCATGGATAGGTAAACCTTCATTTCCTCCACACAGAAGCTGATTATTGTTGTTGTGTAAAAAGAAGAGGAATTGCCGAATTTCACGGCATTGCTGTCTCTGTAAACTGGCACAAACCAACCAGCTGGGGTGGAACTGACTCTGTGGGCAGCGCTGGGAAAGGGGAGAGCCCTTTTTGGGTCAGAGGTGGGACACTGGCACACCACAGAGCACGGTCTCTGCAGACAGGCAGGACTGACAGACAGCAAAGGGGTTCACTACCACTTGTCTCTAGAAAGCAAGTGCCCTGAAGTCACCTCATCTCGCTGTCTTTGGAGTGATTCCCCTTAAGTAGGGCTCACGTTACTGGGAACCACTCCCCCCAAGCCAGGATTAGCGCAAAATGTTGTCCCTCCTCTGAGAGCACAAAACTCTGCTAAGGAAGGTGTCCCTATGGCAAGCAGTCTGCACATTCCTAGTCCTATCTTCACACTGTCCCCATTTAAGGATGTAGGAACCAATGCATTTCTTATTTATTAGATGAATATTGATTTTTTTTTCTCATTAATGACTGTTCTGTGCCAAGCTCTGGCTGGAACAAGACCTGCATCCAACTGCACATGCACCAAACTAGCATTCCAAAATTGTTTTCATTACTTAAATAAAATTACCATATTGAACCATAAGAGCAGGAAAGGGGGGGGTGGGGGCACGAACAAACTGTTTTGTTTAGAACTGATTTATTAAATACAAGAAATATTCAAGCATTATAAGCAGTTAGCAAATTGCACTAGCTGCTCTTTTAAGACTTCAGGCCTTTTTTGTATTGATTATTATTTTTTCAGCTCTCAACCAGTTCCCTGATTTCTTCTGACCTAATCACTGAATTCAACATGTTGAATAAACTGAAATGAAGGAAATACTTACTTTTCACTTGCAGAAGAGGCACCTGGGATCAAAACCTGGTTTAAGCACTGAAATAAACTGCTTCCAGATGCCCAGCCAGTCTTATTTCCCAGATAAGCATGAGAACTGTACATGTACAGTTTCACTATTTTTAATATGTTGTATACTTGAATAGATCAGAATAACTTTAGACCTAACATAGTTTGTGATTATTTAATGTTTGAGACAGTTTTTAAAGGAAAATGTAATTAATATAAATTTAAAACATCCAACTGAAAAAAACCAAAAAACTAAACAACCCAGGCTCCTTCTTCCTAGGCCAGGTACTCTGGGGACTGCTTTGGCTTGGCAAGGCAGCAAATCCCACAGGGACAGGGAGAGAAAGTTGTTGTCGTATTAAATCCTGAGTGTAAGAACCAGTGTCTGTGATGCACCAGTTTACCCCAGCAGCACTCCTCTCTGTCTGATTCAACCATGTACATAATTGTTAGCTGCATCTCCGAGGCCTGTGAGTAACCTTGGGTGCAGCACTTAACTACTCCAAGCCCTGCACCATGCAAGCATGAACTGTGTTGGAGTTCCCTTGAGCCCTGGCTTACCAGAGGTCCCGGCTCCCAAGAGCTGCCAATGGCAGGACATTTGAAGGTGCTGTAAGGAGATTCTGTCCCCATTTCCATAGATATTAGATGTCATTTCAAAGGGTTGATACCCTCTCCCTCTGATAGGGACACTGTATGCATATCAGAACTGGCTAGGATCTCTCCTCCAGGAGGAGACCGAAGACTGGGGTGACACAAGAGAAGAAACAATCAGGTGTGAGGTCAGTACCTCAGAAAGGAGAAACAAAACAGTAGAAAGCAAAAGGAGGAAAAAACCTGAAAGAGTAGGAGACAGGCTGAGTCAAGGGAAAAGCCAAAATAAAGTCACAGAGCAGAAAGGCCAGTGAAGAATCAAAGCAACAAATTTACAAACAGCTGAGGAGAAAGAAGATGCAGATAAGCAGGGAGCACAGCCTAGGTCTGACTGGCTTCCTGTCATCAGCAGGAGTCTCTGAAGATTGGAGGGCACTTAAAGACTGAGTCTAGAAGGTCCCGCTGCTCTTCTTCCTTAACATCCTGGACCATGAGCTAATAAAGTACTGCCATCATAACCTTACCGTGTGGTCCATTCCTGCCTCCTTCACCATCATACCATGCCCAAGTTAGCACCACCTCCGTGACAGCAGAAGGCACACCAGAACTATCATCTCACAGCTGAGCTAAGCTACAACCTTAGACCTCAGGTACAGCTGGCTTGTGGATTACAGGGCTGCATATAAAAGACTGGTCCTGGCAAGAGATACTGATGTTTGGCCAGAAATGGATCTCCCTTCTAAACCATATGTCTGCTGGAAGCCTTAGTGTTTGGAATGGTATAGCTGTTCTCAGCCTCATTACACAAGAAGAGTCAAATAATCTGTGTTGGACAAATTCTATGTTTGGTTCCCAAAACCGCCCCAATGGTATGGAGCCTCAGATGTATTGACTCTAGCTACTCCATGCTCTTGCCACACATTTAAATGGCATTTGGCAGTTTCTGGGCATTCTTTGGGAGGAAACAGCCAACAAGCGAGAAACAGTTCCTTCTCTGTCAGGTAGATGGGAGACACACCGAATAGCTACTGAAGCTAGAGGTGAAAGAGGTGTCCACGTATGAGAAGGACAGGGTTTTTTGTGCTCCATCCCCAGAAAATTACTTTCAGTAACAATATCTACTTTTGACTTCTTTCTTTGACACAAGCATCTCTCATGCCTTGAGCAATTTCTGAGCCTCCTTCCATGGGCTTTATGCTTCGTAGCAGAGACTTGAAAATGACAGTCACCAAGACAACCCAAAAGATGCTCTACCACAGCTGATCAGTGACTTTTTGAGGTTGGGACCTACTCAAACATTAACAGAATCACCACCATCGCTCCAAGGCAACGAGGCTCTCTCACTAAGATCCAAAGAACAGTCAATCTTGCCAGAGGCGGCCAGACTGCTCAAACACCTCTGACCTTCTGTTACCCACTGGTCCCTTTCCAGCAACCTGCTCACAGAATTTCACAGTCAACACTAGCCAAGAGAGAAAACCCCAGGAGCCAAAGAGAGCACTGGGTGGATTAGGGCCCTCCTGAGAATTTCAGCAGAGAAATAAACACATGAAGCTGGGCCCAGGGCTCTCATGGTGCTCCAAAAAGAGAGACACACATTTGTGCCACAGACCCAGAGGAAGAATTCACAAGTTGGCCAACTGTCACGTCTGGCAGACATCACCCAGGAATCGTGCCTCTGAGCTGTCCTCAAAACAAGACAGAAAGACACTGGGTCATGCTTGACCTGTTCCCAGACACCTCCGCCAGTCTACATCACATCAGAGAAATTCAGCCTTGCTTTGAGAAGGTCCCAGCTCTCTCCTGTCACCCCTTCCAGGAGAGAAATGCACAAAGTCTAGGCTGCTGACTGGAGAAACTGAAGCCAGGAATAACTCCCAGGTGCTGACAAGCTTTCACGCATTTGTTACAGAGACCTGTTTGTGGTCTCCCAGCCCAGGTATGGTGCTGCCCCATGGCCAAGAGGGCAGCCCTTCCCCACACACACACGCGTGATACTCACAGCCTGCGCATAGGCGCTGTATGGGCTGAACGGCAAGGTGAGAGATGGAGTGAATATCCCCAGCTGCCCCACCATTTGCTGCATACGACGGAGGGTCCTCTCCTTATCTGTGTCAGCAAACTTCACCACTAGACTGGAGGAGGCGCCCTAGGCACAGAGAGAGGAGACAGAGAGAGGAGGCAGGGGAAGAAGAGGCCGTGGGACAGCCAGAGAGTCAGCAGTCAGGCAAGGTGGGATGGGGCAGAGCAGGCAGCAGAGAGGAGTGGGAAGAGGAGCAGAAGAGCAAATATTGGCGTGAAAGTGCTCGGGAGCTGCCTGGAACCTGGGCTGCACCCTTCTCCATCCATCCATCCATCCATCCATCCATCCATCCATCCATCCATCCATCCATCCATCCATCCCTTCCCTCTCCCGCCCTTCCCCTCGCACCCTGGGCCTCGCACAGCTGCACAAGTGGGTGCACACGTCCCTGGCTGCGCTCACCGGGTGATGGTGCAGCCAAGAACACCCAGGACATCGTCAGCCACAAGCACCATCTTTCCACCACCATAAGCTTGGCTGAATAGGCAGAGCAGTTCCCAGCAGCTGGAAATAGCCCTGCTGCAGCAATGCACTGTCCTGCCCACAAGGTGCCTCGATCCAGGTTAGAGATTGTGAGAGACAGATCACAACTGCAGCTCCACTTGCACAAGAAGGCACAGCTGCAGCTACACAACCCCACACAGTGCACAAAGAGTTCACCCACCCAGCCTGCCCCAGAGGCCTCCTCCACTGCCTAAATAAGAGAAGGCTGGGACTAAGCTCAGACACTGGAGTCTTGACTGCTCTTGTTGCTGAATCGTTAGCTTGCACCCTGCTTGGTTTTGAACTATACCAGGTAGCTGTCTCCTAGACAAATTCATAGCCCGGTTCTTAGATCTCTTTTATTTAGCCTTTATAGCTACTGTTACTACCAGCCTGGACAGACATAGATACACACACCAGCCCTGGAGACAGGATGGTTCCCAAAGACAAGAGCACATCCCCCACCACAACCACACAAGCTGGAAACTGCAGTTGAACCTGTCATGGTTTTGGACAGTGAGGGGAGGTCCCTGCAACAGGGTGATGGGAAGAGGATTAGGAAGAGGGTAGGTACCCTGGCCTTATACTCACGGGCATTGTCTGGCTGCCATGGAGTGCGTGGATTGCTGCCTGAGCCTCTGTGTGAGATGAGAACTTTACAAAAGCACAGCCTGGAAAGGGACAGAAAGAGCACAGGAGATTGCAGTGACAGGACTGCTGTGAAAGTGCCCCTTGCATCATCATGCAAGAGACAGTATCTGGATCTCAGGCAGGGCAAAGGAAAGCCACCCCAAGAAAGCAGGGAACTAAAAAGATGACTCATCCCAAATTCTCTATCCTGGAAAAAACTTCAGTGATACACTCCATAGATGATGTCACCACCTCCACCCTTGCCCCTGATTACCTCTTCCCCAAATTCTCTATGCGCTCCTAATTGTGGTTACAAACATTTCAAATTGCAAACCCAGACTGAGCCAACAGGCTCACTAGTGATCCTGATAACTCAGCTGCTCATCGTGCTCTGCTTCCCCTCCTTTCACCTCAGTCTCTGCCCATCTTCCCCAATCCTTCCTTGCAGCAGACAACTCTTCCTGCCCTCCTTCCTGTGCCTGGCTGTGATATGGGTTCCCATAAAGATGGGGTGGGAGAATAAGTGCCTCAGTGGAAAGGAGGCTCAGATGGCGAGGCAGGTGAGCACTACCTGAAGAGCAGGGAGAAAATGAGCATGATACACAGAGGGGTTCACACCTTTGCTGTTACCATCAGGTCCACGGAGCACTGTACATTCATCAATGACCCCAAATGGTTCAAAGAGCCGGAGCACGTCATCCTCAGACTGTTGCTTATTTAACATGCCCACAAAGAGCTTCCTGTCCCCTAGGGGCAAACACAGAAACATCAACCTTCTATGAGGCTTACAGTCCAAAGCAGGAGGATTGGGACACTGAAGCACAAAACAGCCTAGTGTTGAAAACATGCCTGGCATGGAAATGATTTGCTGTTGGCTGAAATGCTTCCAGGGGTGAGTATGCAGGGTCCTCCTAAGCTCCTCACACTTGTAAAGGTTTCTGTGGCTTCCCCTCTCCTACCCTCCCCAAAGGAAAACAGAAGGTTAATAATTTCCTTCTATTCATTAGCCCTTTCCTTTGAATGATCCAACACAAATGGTAATAAGAAAAACTGCCTGGGCAATTATACCAGAGTACCTTAGGAAACAGCAGACCAACCCAGGCAACACGAATAAATTCCAGGACCCTTGGCTTCTCTTTCCTTCTCCTTCTCTCCAAGATCACCATTTCCACAGCTGCTATGTAACCAAGCATCTTAGATTCAATTTGCCCTTCCCTACCCCAGTCTAACCAGTATGTCTATCAAGCTGTCCTCTAAGGCCTGGGAATAAACCCTGGCATCCTAGGTCCCAATTTGCCTCACCATAGGATCAGCCAAATGCAAGACAGTTGGGTGAGGGCCAACAAACAGCTCCACAGTCCTCACTTGCCCCCGTGTGACACTGTCAGGGGGTGGAAGGCTAGCCAACACATCCAGGACTTTGATTAGGGTCCTTCTGGGTTCCTCCCTCGGAAGGGAGAAGTAAGGATTATGGTTTTGTTGGGATGGCCAAGTGTGGAGGTGGGAAGAAAGGTGCACAGTGCTTTCTTCCCCTCTTTACCCCCATCAGTACACACAGGGGCCCACCGCACAGCCTGATGCCATCCAGTCAAGCACAAACACAGTGGGGCAACGTCCTCCACAGATTGCTGTGATTAGCTATTAAAACAACACAACATTAAAATCCCAGCCTTAATGCCAGCCCAACCTCCATTTTTGCAAGGAGATGGTTGTGCCAATCCTCCCTCACTGCCCCAAACATGCATGGGGAGACATGACCCATAGGAGCAGAGGTGCAGGATGTAGCTAGTGAGAGAGGATTCTTTACTGTTAAGGACATGGTCAGAGGGGCTGGCTTCAAACAAAACCAATGTAATGTGACACACGTCAGGGAAAATAGCAAGGAAGCTGCTATCTGTTTGAGAATGCAGTGACCTGAAAAACAACAGGTCTTGAAGCTACAGCAGCAAAGCAGGCTGCAGGGGTGGTGGTGTGTATGTATGGCAGGAATGGATGTCACATTACACATTCACACTGCCAGCAAAGCTCCCCCAGCCCCTTCCTTATTCCCTTGGCTCAGAGGATTGTTCCCACCCAGGTAAGTAAGCAAGCTGCTTCCCGCCACCACTCTGCCACACACAGACACACTTGGGAACACATGCAGGATCTATCTACACGTGCCACTTGTCCCTTGCAGAAAAGTAGTTGCACGTACACATTAATGGACAAGCACGTAGGCTGATGCGTGCACAAGAACATGCCTGCACATCGACCCAGCTTTCAGAAACAAACTTCCTCAGTAAGCAAGAGGGATGTGCAGACAGATGCGCTCTTCCACCATGCAGATACCACAGGGAGCAACTTTGTATAGCTGCACCACCCCACGGGCCCAAGCACAAGCTCATGCAGGTGCAGTTCTCCACTAGGCACTAGATGTACATGCAACAGACACCACTTTGATCCACCACAGAGAAAGGGTTAAAAGTGTTGCATCTAAGGCTCTTACCCAGTCCCAAACAGATACTCCTGATTTATATCACTGGAAGTGGCTGAAATACATGGCCTTGTGTATTTCTTAAAGGCCATATTTCCCAGCTTCCCCATTTTCATGATTCCCTGGATAACTAAACCTGCAGGAATTTCATCCCCTTCCATTTTGCTTGTGATTCTTTTCTTTCTACATTACTTCCTGCACCTCCATGACAGTGGTTGCATTTTGGAGACACTATTTAAGCTGACTGAGTCCATCCAAAATTTAGTGCTCTGTCAATGCCCAATAATCCCCAGCCAAGGCACAGCAGCTAATAAACAAGGTGCTGTACAGCTGCCTTCTTAGCAGTAAGACAGCATCTTCCCCCACCCAAGGGCCAGCTCAGAAAAGCTGGTGGGCAAACCAGTGGAAAAATAGCACATAGAGAAGGTGAAAAATCTGACCAGAAGGAGAGTGATAAAAAAAATGGGGCTGGTCAGGAACATATTTACTGGGAGGTGGAGAGAAGAATAGAAACTAAAGGAGCAGTAGCTCTGTGCTCTCATTAACATCACCTGGTGCCATATGTGATCCCAGTTTGGCTGTGGGAAAGGGACATTTGAGCTCTGCAGTGTTCTCCCCTCCTCTGCCATGAATCTATATTGCAGCTGCAGCCAGGCCTTATTTCAGATATGTGCACTATGCTGCAGCCTTTGGATTGCAAACATCTTGGGAGTTGCTCAAAAAACACACCATCAAAGGAGAGAAACACACTGGGAAATATTTGTACTGACTTTAGACGCTGTAAAATATGTTCTTTGAACTAACATGCAAGTAATTGTTGACTAGGACTTAACAGCAAGAAATGCACTTGATGGTCTTGCCTTGCTCTTTAGGGACCCCAGCAGGCTGTCTGACTGCGGAAGGGGGATGTCAAGACAACTGGAAAGTCAGTTATATTAGACATTTTAAAAGCCGGCACTCTAGGTGGGGGGAACATACAGTGACATAATGTGACTTCTGTAACACTGGCCTTTTGCTTCTGGATCTGATTTTGTGTAAAGTGAGGTTTTTGTGGAAGAATAGTGGGCAACCAGTAGAGAGTCGGCTAAGTGGTTCCAGTTTTGGCCGACGACTAATTCAGTGCAAAGACCTAATGGTTACCACAGCCACCCAAAGCTTAAGCCTCCACTAAGCAACAGTCTAATGGATGCAAGAGGCCACAGCTTTGCAATGGAGGCACTGAACGAAAAGGAACCTTGTCAACTTGCAATCAAAACTATGAGTTACTAGTTGCTTTCTCCTTCAGAGGGTCTTGAAATTTCCTGGATAATTCTTGTGGTTCCCTCCTCATGCCATTTCTGTTGGATAAAAAGCATTTTTCTTTATCCTGCAATTTGGGAAAGGTCCACTGAAGCAGTGGATGCTATTCTCCATTCTTGCAGTCTTACTGCAGGTCTTCTGTTGTCTGACAGGGCTCACTAACAACGTTTTGGAAGTCCTGTGTTTATGTGGGAATTTCAGCTTTGCTTTTTTGAACTTGTAAGAAAAAAATGCCAGCCTTCCTGGCTACGTAGAACAGGTTAAAACTGTGATACCTTAGGGACTCGAGCCGTAAAGGCAAATATAAAGAAACACACCTATTGGTTTTGAATCTTTTCTGAATGCCCAGAATGGCAATATTAGAAGGGGATGAAGGGGAAGGGGACTTACAGCATATTTTCATTTCACACAGCCCAGTTCCCAAGACTGAAGGAAAAGGATTCAGGCTTGTTCCCATGGGATGCCCCTTTGCAGCACCTGGGAAGCTGTGAAAGGGCTCCTCTGCTGCTGATCTATCTCCTTCTCCATGCGTTCGAGCCCAAACGATGATCTAGTGCCCTCTCATTTTGGGCAACTTCCAGATAGGGGCATTCCCCTACCAGTAACTAAGCTGTCTCATCTCTCCACAACTGGGATGAAACCCTGCAAGCCCTTTCACCTGCTAAAACCACTTGTAAAATGGTTGATCCCAAATCAGGTGGCATCCTCAAGCCACTGCTGTGGGTCACTGGCTCCTTTGGCTCCCCAGCTGGGACTCATGCAATTCTGAAGATCTTCTCTCCCCAGTTTGTAACAGCACACCCTCCTCCTGCCATTTTTTCTTCACTTTCTCTCCAGCTCTTGTTTTTCACCCTCTGACTGGCAATTTCCCATGCTGTGTAACAACCAGGAAAATTGTCTCTGATCTCTGACTGTTGAGTTCCCACAGAAACATGGTCTGGGCACAGTCAGTCACCCAGGCAGCAGGATAAGGGTCAGTGCAGAGCAGGTCACTGATGAAGATACCACAGGAACAAGCGAGGGGTTAAGGCTGAATGCTTTGGCCATGAGAAAAAAGAGGACAGCACACAAGCACTGGACACTGCTCCTCTTTAAACCCAGTGGATTTAGGTCATCTGGCCAGCAGCTGTCAGCAGCAAGGGTCAGGGAGATGGAGGAAGCCCACTCAAACAGTTGGGTGCGGACAGGACACAGCAAATCTCCTTGGGTATGTAGAGAGCTTCCTTGTCTCTAAGGCAGTGCTAATGGGCTCGGGCTAGCTGTCACATCACATCAGTGCAGCAGTGCTCCAGGTCTTGCAAGAAGCACAGTCAAGCTGCTCTGCCCCCTCACTCCATTTCCTCCTAGCACTCCCAACCTCACATCAGGGGCATGAGTGAAAGGAGGAAAGAGCTGACAAAGCCTGTGCCAGAATCACAGGTCCCCTTCTGAACTAATGCAGGCAGCATCTTTTAACTAGTGAACTCCTGCAGGGTTGCAGTAACACTGAACAACCAGATAACCCCACAAACCCCTGCAGAGCTTGATCAAAACTGCCCCTTTTGGCACAAAAATTAGCATCTCTTAGACCAGGAGACAAATCCTGGTGCTCTAACTTCATGTACTTAATTCAGAGTGCTTAATTTGAGAGATGTCAGTCCCTGGAGAGGATGAAAGAGGTTCCCTTTGAGGATAATGCAGAACAGAGCCTCACTGATGCATGAAGTTGTTCCCTCGATAAATTCCTACTCCAAGCAGTTCTGCCCTGACCTAAATCTTTCTTCTACCTCCTGCCAGTCTAGGGCTATTGCTATAGGGAATGGCACTTCCCATATCTGCAAATTTGCTCATCCACTTCTCTGACAAGTGGAACATCAGGACAGAAACCTCTGGAAAGAGCAACCCGATTCAGACAAATATAGGGTGCTGTCTTGATGCTGACTCTGCCTCAGGAAAAATTCCAGTTTGTCATGGATCCTGTGGGAGCTACTCGTTTCTGAGCTCTGCAGTGAAGCCGGAAGGAAACTAGGCACATGTGCTAGAGGGAGACCAGTGTTCAGACTCCAAAGGCTGCTTTTCTCTATGACCTTCTCCATGGAAAGCAGAGCTCACTCCCTGATGTTTGCAGTCATTACAGACTGTGGCACTTTTCATAAGCTTAGAGATTTCAGAGTCCAATGCCTTGACCAAAAGTTTGTCTCCAAAACAACATCCTGTTTTTGATCCTGTTGGTCTCTTTCAGCTCAGTTTAACAGAGGAACTTAGGCATTAGAGATGTTAAGTCATAACACGCTCTGTGTATAGAAGAGTTCCTAGTAGTGCCCTACCAGCAAAATAAAGACTGCAGAAATTACCTCAGCCTAGTATTAGACACCAGAGATTCCAGAGTTGTGCTCATCAAAGACACAAACTGTTAAGAAAACAAAGCTGTAGCGGTCGGTCTGTTCACAGCCTGAATTGTCTGGTATATTTTTACTGCTGTTGTGTGAGGGCTTAACGCAGGGGCGTCAGCTGTGCTTGGGTGGTACTGGTGAAGGTAAACGTGTGCGTTTGCCTATGAATGTGTGTCAAGTGGGCACATGTATGTATTTGCAAAACAGTGCACACATGGGGCATCCGTCTGTAGGTACATCTGTCTGTGTCTCCGTGTTGGCTGTGAAGGTTGCTACGCAGCCATGACTTACAGCCTGAGAGTGCATGGGATCTGCCAGTGTATATATGTAATGGTTCTGTGATGTTGAACTATGGGTATGACTGGCAAAGGCTTTCCTAGTCTCCTATGTTTGTTTGGGTTTTTTAAGACTCATTAGGAATAACCTCAGATACAATTACACAATTTATGAATTAATTAGAAACCTGGGGTGCAAATTTTTAAAATCAGTGTGGTGGGGGAAGGATTGACCACCTAATGGTTGTATCTGGAGGCAGTATGAGGTGTCCGTGAGCAGTCAAGCTGCTTCTATCCCCATTGCAGGCATGTCTAAAGAACAGCTCATCCACCCCTGCGTATCAGTGTCGAGAGAGAGAGTGAATCACCCTGAAGGCACTGGTCTCTTTTTACTGTCTGTAGCATGGACAAGGACCTTAAACTTAACCCTGAACCCAGGGGCTGAAGTAAGGTGAGATGAATCCAGTCCTATGTGTTTTAGGCACTCTAGTTTCTCTGGAGGCTTAAGCTATGGCTCTCTTGAAAAAGGAGCGGGTCTGTATGTGGTGGCATGTCTGGGATTCTCAGTATAGCCCAAGGGAATAAAAATGCTCAGACTTCAGTAAAAATCAGCTGTCTTATCCCTCAAGTAAATAATGAAAAATCAAAGATTCTATTTGGAAAAATGATCTGACTTAAACAGATAAACTTTTTCTTACACAACCATAAATACACACATTAATATAAAAAATATCTCATGTTCCTGCCAGTGCAATAATTGAAAGTCACTACAAATTGCTTAAAAGTGACCTCTTAAAATTTAAAACAAAAGCCTTCCAAATCTAAACAGAGCATGCAGGGTATGCTGCCCTACAGGACAAACAGTCTCACACAAATTCTCCCCTCCCCACTACTAAACTGCTTTCAGAAGCAGCACCAACAGCACAAGGCATGAAGAGGCAGATGCAGGAATGGAGAGAAGAGGAAAAGAAATGTATCAGTAAGACAAGGAAAAGCAGCAATAGGGGTTCATAAATTTGGAAAGGGATGGAGTTGCAAACCTTCTCCACCTGGAGGAGGCATCTGAACTGCTGTGAGCTCCCCGTTAAATTAACAGATTCTCTTGTTGCAAACCTTCCAGCTCTGAACTACCGGGTATGTGCTGCTCTAAACCAAGCTGGTCCCCTGCAGGCTGACAGCACCTCCACCTCAGGCCTAAACTCAGGATCCTTTCCCTTCAGACACTATGTCCCCATCACACACTACCTTCTGCAACAGCACTTGGTCCCTGACAGTGTGACGGGGGCTCCTGCAGGACTGAGAGCAGAGAGGCTGAGACAGTCCAGCAGTGATGGGGGAGGCAGAGAAATGAGCTGCAGCCAGGACAATCAGCTGCAGAGCAGTAAACTGAACAGGTTAAAAAGCCAGTGCTGCTGCAGGGATCTGGCTTTTATTGGGCTGATCAGGTATAAGAACAAAGAAACCTCTTCCCAACTGCTTACACCCTACCCTCCAGGACCCCTGGTGCCATACACCAAAGTGCATGCCTGCTTCAGTAACCTGGGGCAGACATCGTGAGGCTCAAAGGGCTGGGAAAGAGTGAAGTGGGCAGTCACATTATTACCCTTAGAACTGACTTGGGGTGCTGTCAGCTTCCTGCTGTGCCAAGCTGAAGGCTCCTCATCAAAGTCTACTCCTAGAGTCTCCTCCTGCCCCACAAATCCCAGCCACACACAAACATCCCTTCGTACAGACTGCGGGGAGAGGAGGACCAGGGCAGGAGCCTGTCTCTTTGCTTGGTCCCCCCTCACAAGCACAAAGCCGCCAAAGGAGAAACAAGGAGAGATTACAACTACCTCCACGGCTCTCGCTGTCTGCGGGTTTCACTTGAATCGGGCGCGCCATCTGCAATGAAAGAGAAATGCAGAGGGTTAGAGCCTGGGCCATCTGCCTGGCACACGGAGCTGATGGCAGTGGCACCAGGGTGCCCCTTTCTGCCTGATGGGCAGAGTGGGAGAGTGGCAGAAGGGAACCAAGACATCATGATGGCAACCAAAACCCTTGGAGAAGGGACCACATGGATTTCAGACTTCTCAAAAGGAAACCTGGTGCTTTTCCCTGCTCAGCTACTTGCCTGCAGGGAACAGCTCTCCTGGAAATGCCCACCGTGCATAAACCTCCTCTCCTCAGACACAGCAAGCGGCAAAGAAAAGACTCCAAGGAAGCAGCTCATCACCCTAAGACTGCACCCTGAACAATGATCAGGGTGGCCTAAGGTGAGACTATGCCTGGAAGCTCTTCCTATACCTGCCCTGACTCAGTGCAGGCATGGTCACCTCACCTAATTGAGCCACCTACTTTCCTTGCAGGAGGGAGGAAAGACTGAACTTGGCTAGAAGCAGCACAGCAAGCAAACATGTTGTTTCCCCTTCACCAGCCCTCATGCGGTCAGAGTTCTGTGCACAAGGGTGGCTCTAAAGAAGGGCAGTGCTCCTCTCCAGCAACAGCTCCTTGCCCACAGGGGGAATGCTCAGGTCAAAAGTCACAAAACTGCTCTTGTTTATTTGTGGAAAAGAGCCATTTACCTCCCTTGTACCCATTAGTGTCATCAGCAATAATCCAACTACAAGCAACAAGCCTAAGGGGTAGTTTAGCTCATGTGATATGGGGACTCTCCAGGTAAAACAGAAGAACACTTCTACCCAGGAGTAGCTGCATTAAGTAACCCACAGCTTTAACTGTCAGATTTGCAAAGCAGGGCAAAACTGTCCTCTGCTGGAAGGTGTATGTGTCCTATGCTGCCCAGAAAGGCAACTGACAAGCTGTATGTAGCCTCCTTCCCAGCTAGCAGGATCCAACTGAGACAGAATCTTCTCCAGGGAATGATGTACAAGGCAGATTTCCACATTCACGGCACATCTCATTCCATATCTCTCAGCATCACTCACAGAGGCTGTCAGTGACTTGAATCATGACACTCATAAGAAAACACAGTAGCAATATCACAGGTAAGACCTGCACACAAGTTGCAGGTCCAGGCATAGTCTACCCTCTCTCTTAGGAAGCACCCTCAGGTAAAACAACAAAAATAAAATCAAGCCATAGAAGTCACCAAATGAAATGCGTTTAGAAGCCACGATGTAAAATGTGGACTGCTGTCAGTCTCCAAGTGGTGGCTGAGCCAGACTGGCCAGAAACCAGAGGTAGACCCCCATTCACAACAGCAGGAGGAAACCCATGAAGTAACTTTGCAATTCACAGGACAGAGATGCCAACCAGAAGGTCACAGGCTGCTGCGGCACAGCACACCGCTGCCGAAGCCTGACCGCTGGTCACAGGAGAGAGCTTGCAGCAGCTGGGGGCTGTGAGCTGGCTTCCACTGGCTGGTGGATCTCAGGCAGGATGAGCAGAAGCTGGGACCAGCCCCAAGCGATACCATCCCTCCCTCAAGAAGCGATATGGGGCTGCTTGGCAAAGCCAGAGACTGACTGGCAGCTCCCCAAAGGAAGGCCAAGCTGCTGCCATGCTGCACCTCGGTAGGCAGCAGTGCCAACTCCAATTCCATCTCCCAGGGCTTGCTGTGTCATCTGGGGAAGAGGGAAAGGCTGAGGGTCCCTTTCCCGCTCTTGATCAGCTGCATGGATTTGCGGAGCTCCTAACATCCCGCTGTGCTGCCACGTGGCCCCAGCATGTGCAGCACTGACACTCATCAGCTTCTGGGCTGCTGCTCCCGCCATGAACTGCCAAGGACCAGGCATCTCTTTCAGCCTGTGAGCTGAACGGGATGTGGGGCAGGGGTTCAGAAGGATGCGGTGAGATACTGCTTCAGAAAGCCTCAGATTTCCTCGCTGAGAGGCAGCGGCTCCTATCACAGCTCACAGCCTCTGGCAAAATGCCTGTGCAAGCCAGGGCTGGGGGTGTTTCAGCAGCAGGCTGGGTGGGAGAGGGCAGGCGGCCAGATGTGTGCTTGGAAGAGAGGGCTCAGTGCGGAGCCAAGAGGGGCAGCTGGCCACCTCACTCCCCACTGCTCCCACAGCACTGAGAAATAGCTTTGTTTCTACCCAGGATGCAAAACCAGGATTAAGCTAAACAGATGGGGAGGGAGATGGAGGGACAGACTCGGATCTCAGCTTCTGCGAGGAGCAAATCCATTTGGGGGGAGGGAGGAAGGGGTGCTAGAGCACCACACGCCCACATGAGCCACCCAGGGATGCTGTGGCTGAGCGCTTGGGGCAAGGAGCTGGAAAGGATGGGGTGAGGTGAGGGAAGGGGTTAAGTACCTGAGGACATCTCCCTATCCCCTCCCCCAACAGGGCTGTCACTCCAGCTCTCAGCACCTAGGGTAAAGGAGATGTTGTCATGGAAACGGTTATTCACCACATGGAACCTGACATTTGCAGTTGCCATGGAAACCAGCTCTTGGGGGCATTCCCTCTGCTTTGCACAAAAGAGACATTTTGATATCATCTCTGGGGAGGGGGCCCCCCTCTACCCATCTGTCCACCCCTCTCCTTCCCCCTATCCCAGGGACTGCTTCCCAGCCCAGAACGCCCTGCAGGGCAGTGGTGAGCCGGGTGAGCCACGGCTGGCCCTGCTGAATCTGCCTGCCACGGGGGAGGGCACCCCCCAGGGTCACCCACCCATAGTGGGGTAACAGGCCCACTGCAAGGCCACGGCACGATGCCCGCAGGACAGCACTGGCAGCAGAGGTGCCAGCACAGTGACGTGGGGTAACACCGCCGCAAGTCTGAGGCTGCGTTCGGCCTGGGCGACAAGAGGAAGAGGGGCTGCCTATGATGAGATCGAGCATGTGGGCTGCTCTGCACCCCACAGCTGTGGGCACAGCTTCAACCTCGCTTACCTGGCCCAGCACCTTGGCAGGGCACAGGAACACTCACCCTCTGCCAATGTCCGACCAAGCCCCTGGCTGAGGGCTGCCCATTTCCAGAGACCTTGCCAGCGCCAGCTTTTGAGAGCCACCCACCAAACTGAGGTCTGGCCTCTGGGCTGGTCTTCATCTGCTCTGGAAGATGGGGGTAAAGAGGAGAAAATGAGATACAAGAAACTTGTCCAGATGTTGAGGCCTGGAGAACAGCAACAAGATTCTGCACTTGCTGCTTCCTGACATGGGAGGTCTCCTGACTGAGGCAGAGGCAGGCATGGTCCTACTTGCAGAGGACTGGACACCCAGAGGCTTCCACAAACAGGACAACAACACTTTAATCCTTCTATGTCCCATGTTGCCAAAGATGAACAAAATATCAAAGGCCTCCCAAGCAGAGGTGCTGACCCTACAAATGCAAAGAGTTCACAGTTATTTTAACTCAACAACATAGGTCACAAGGCCTTGCAAAGTGTCCCTGTGGGGTCCTAAACTTTGTATACAGGTCTCAGAAAAAGAGCTCTGTCCCCTACATGAGCTCAATGCACAGAAATGATGGTCAAGCTTTACTCTTCTTTTTGAAGGAGAGAGACTGTAACAGGACAGCAGGGAGGACACACTTCTGGCTTGCACATCAAACTCTGGAAGCACAAGTTCTTCTGGCCTCCAGTCGTCATCTCAAGCCGCACAGTAATCAGAGAACACACCTAAGAAAGCCATATTTGTACATGCTCAGCTGGGCCCAGAATCCAAGAGTCAGGATGTGCCTGCATTAAATTCCAAGTGACAAGTAGATGCACATGCACAGACATGCATGCCGTTACCACACAAAACCAAACATATGTGAACACATATGTGGCATGGAGAACTTAAATTATTTATGAGCCTGTGCCTGCCTCACTAGCTGAGCTTTATTTTCCTCATTAAATTATTCAGCTGAATAATATTATTCTCCATTTCTGAAGAATATCACATTAACATTTAGCACATGCTGTCAGGCTACCACAGGCCAGAAGTCCCTCACCCCCACTTGCTTTCTTTGGGGTTGCTAGCGGGAAGCAACTGGCCAGCCTGATGGGGGCACGAAGCTATACTGACCACTGGAGCATTACATGCCACAAAGCACAGCAGCCACATTTCCTGTGCAGCCCTCAGGGAGCAGTGAGGAGATAGCTGGAGGTAAGAGTCAATACTTTCCAGAGCAGCCTAGAGGTTCCTAAGGAAGAGGCAGAGGTGAGAGGCCTTACTGGCAAGTGTCTAGATTACATCCCACCCCACCTGCAGCATCTCATCAGCACAGAAAACTAGGAAACTGTGCTCTGCTTGGGCTTCCTCCCTGCTTTCAACAAAATTGACCCCCACCCTTGTAGCACTCTTGGAATCAAGGATCTAAGGAAAACCCCTAGCCCTGCTTAAGTCAAAGGAAGCTTTGCTGTTGTTTCTCAAAGGCCAAAATGCACCATTTCTCTCACTGCATCCCAAAAAACCCTTCTGGAGGTGCACTAGCTCCCCACTGATGCCCAGCACAAGCTGTCATATCAGCAATCTGGTAGCCATGTCTTCCAAGGAAGAGCAGCGACCCCCCGCTCTTGCTTCCTCAGCTTTCAAACTGCAAAAACTGGATGGAGGGGGAAAGCCTCCTGGGACAGCAGGGCAAGCCTCTCTATTAATTAGGAGTAAGTGATGTAAAATAGCCCCGTAGGTGCAGAGCAGGGGAACCTCACAGTGTTAAGAGGGTCAGAGACAGAAAGCATGAAATACACAATGCAGGCTGGCTCCTCTGGGATGTCACGAACCAAAAGGCATCCAATGCCATTGGCAGAATTAGGTCCTGAGCTCTTAGACTATGCAAGTTGTGGGTTGGTCCTTTTCTAGCCAGTTAAAAATGCCCTGCCTGAACGATCACAGCCACTTCTAGCTGTGCAGAGCACATAAATCTAAATGCCGATTTGCTCATTTGGATTCTGTTTCTGGTCAGGAATGCAAGCAGTGATAGATTGATGCCGGTCTCAGTGCTCAAGTC